TTTGCTACACATTGCTGACATGAAGCTTATGTTTTGACAGACTCATGTTGAAACCAGATAATTCCGCCATCAAGCCCACTACACCACCACAGTATCTCTCTGCTTAGACAAGCACTTAAGCATTAAAAGAAAATAAATATAAAAATACCACAGTATTTGTTGAAACATACCAGGGTGTTTGGAGCTTTAAAAACTTCTCCTCCAGCAGTATTACATTGGGTTCATTATCACATGCTGCAATATATAACATTTCCTACTTGAACCACAGCCTAAGACCAGAATACATGGTCTCAATCAGGACTGTCATTAACATCAAGTTAAACTACACTTGCCATTAACTCTGTAAACACAAAAGATGCTGAAGGTGGTGAATGTAATTTAACTGCAGGCAAACAAATCTAAGTGGTATTAGAAAGTTTTATACTCAGTGCAGTGCAATTGAAGGACATAACCATTGAGAAATTTCTATTATTTGTTACATGAAAGTAGGAACGGTTTAAACTTCTACAGATTGTGAAATAACAACAGCCCACATAAATATGACTGAGTGAGAGCATTGTCTTTTCTGAGCAAGATGTTGTATGCCAATATGGAAAGTGAGCAACCCAAAATTCAGCTGCATAGAAATAAGTCTTAGGGCTATGAGCTTGATTGCTCCTCTAGTCTCTTGCTACAACTAGTAGCACAGGAACTGAAGCTTTAGGTGTGATAAATGCAAAAAGCAAAGGTATCACACTACATAAAATAAGGTAAAAATGTGGTTGTAAGTCTCTTTCATGAACATAGATGAGTGTGAGCATCAATGCCATCACTCTATCAAATGGCTAGACAGGAAGTGTATGTAGGTGCTACCAAGACAAGCTTTGAGACACATCACATAAACACATGAACACCAGCTTTTTAGCATACCAACTATAACCACAAAACAAAAATTCAAACATAACCAACAATCAGACTTTGTACAAAAGAAGATTCAAGTATTTTACTCAAGGATGATCTGAATGATTTTCTATGAAGATCTGACTGTTTTTGGAGGGCTACATAAACCGGTCCATTCCAAACACTCAAGTTACTACATGAATTGGAAACCTAACTGCCATCAACACTGCCACTTCACCTGTTTAGTAAAGATAACTTTTTGAGAAGAGAGATGAGAGAAAGAGAGAGAAGTGAAGGAATTTCCAGGAACACATTTATTACTTCATCACCAAAAATGTTAGCAAGTGGCAGAGTTTTACCCACTTAACACCTCCAACTGCAAGTATTAAACAGATGCAGGTCTGAGTAAAGCTAAATAACTGGGAGAAATAAGGATGATTAATTGGAACATGAGAAAAAACACCTGGGAAGCATCCCACTTACAGCAATATTGCTCAAATACAGATGGAAAGTTAAAATTCATCTGTCTGTATAAGAAAGTAGTGTCAGTTGTTACTGTGTTTAAGTTTCACAAGGTTAGCTGCAGCTTCTAACAGTGGGAAGCATTTTCTCCTTTTCCAGTCTTTTCCTTATTGAAGGACAAGTGCCAAATTCCTTACTTATAATCAGCATCACAAAGGTGCTAACTGGAGCCAAATGACAACAAAAATTCTTCAGTTTTTCTGCTCTCCTAATCAACTCTTATCAACAGATGTATTTTTTACAATAAAAATCTTCACATTTCAAGCCTTCATAACAAACGTAATGACTATATATGTTAAAATGTTTGTGGCTAAGGTCTAAGAAACTGAATACCAGAAACTCCCAAAAATTTCAGTTGGTGCTGAAAATATGATCTTAACAAAAATAAGTTACAGAATTCTTATAGAGATGCCTACACATATACAGTAATGCAACCATCAGCTTCTTCAATCCCTCTGAAAATATGACAAGCCAAGTGCCCAAACATGGAGTTGTTCTATCACCCACGTTTGTAAGATGCAACTATAACACATAAGAATTCTAAAATACAAGTCCTGACAGAAAACACAGATTCACAGAAAGGAAGGAAGAAAGAATGAATGAAAAAAAAAATCATACACAAAACATAATTTCAGATTGTTTTCAGGTCAGGCTGTGGCCCGGTGTGTCACAGTTTCAGAAACAGAGTGACAATGGTTAGTGTTATAACACGCCACTTATTCTGAAGTAAGAGAAATGTATGAGGAAGAGATTTTCTAGCCCCTATAGGAACCAAATAATATCCCTAGCAGTGAATTCTAATCAGACACCAGCAGTATAGCAATACAACAAAATGAATACGACAGACCAGAAGATACAATATCAATGGCAGAAATTACTGCAAGTATAAAAATTACATATCTGGAAAAGAAAAAAAATTGCACGAACTTTGACAGTCCGTGTAACCCATCTTCAATGATACAACATAGTAATTTTGAATGATTAAGATACATCTTTAAAGTTCACTGTTTTTGAGAAAGCTGGGGCAGCTTCTCTCCATTTTGCTTTAACTGTGATTTACAGCATTCTATTCTTTGTTAGTCATTCTCCACTTTGTCTGCCGGATCTGATTACCAGATGGCTAAAATAAATGTATTGTGTTGATTCACGGTAACAGAAGTTGTCTTTATGGGTTCTTTCATGGGTTCACTATCTTTTCCTTTGTACCTACTCCTCCCTCTGTGAATTGATTAGATTTCAGGGCTAAGTTTCATCTGAGGACCTTTCTGCTGAATGCTGCATCGAAAAGCCTATCATCTATTCTAGCAAGCACATAAAGATGACCACAGGATATCGTAGACCTGTCCTAAAGCAACAATGGGCCTGCTCTGCCAAGAAAACAGATTGTTTGATAATCTCCGATATTTTTTCTCAAAAACCAGTGTTCTGTCACTAATATACATTCTAATGCAATCCAGAAAATAGGTGACAGTTGGACAGAAAGAAGGAAATAAAAAGCAACATATGCACAGTGCAAAGTCAAAATAGGTAACAAGACTGAAGTGAAGACAGACACAACAGTGCGCAAATGAAAGACTGAAAGAGCTGCCCTATACTGCACGAGTGGTAATTGTTCACTAGGTGATTTTGTTTAATCCCCTAGACCACTACAAACTGGTGAGTAAATTAGAAAAAAAGAAAAGGCACAAACACAGTAGAAGAAGAGATTGTGTGTAGTTCTACACATTGTCTCCTTTCTTTAAGTGAAGGTACATGTACATGAGGAATCTGTAATCTGAACTGATAACAGCATCCTGGAAAACTCTTAAATGAACCCAACCTCAAGTGCAATTGCTACAGGAATGAACCAGGTTCCTTACCCAACAGATCTCCTCTTGCAAGCAGATGTTTCCTTAAACTGAAGTCAAATACCTAATATATAATACATTCCTAATAACACTTCAGTGTTATTTACTAACAATTAACATGCATACATTGGGCTTTATCTTCAGTTTAGCACAATAATTCTATGTCTCTTAAGCAAAGGTACGTTACAGAACTGACATCTGAATAAAAACTTTTAATATAAATAAAAATCTATTTAGTGAAATACCTAGTCAAAATTAAAGTGACCAAACTGAATGAACACAGAAGAGTTGCTTTGGAAAATTTTAGTTGGATGCTATACCTTAAAAATAAAGAAATAAAATCCCCTTTTTACTTCATGTAATGTTTCCCACTTTTCCTAAAGCATCTCCACTAAGTTTGATTTTTTTTTTAATTATATATTGAAAACTTCGGTGGTATTTATATATAAACATGATAACAATATTAAAAATGCTTAGTACAGCATACTAACATTTTTTGTTAACATTTGTCGATGTTCTTCATTTAACAATGCTCTTAGACTTCCAATATTTTTTTAGCCAGTAGCATTAATTCCTAAGTGTGGCATTTGGAACACACTGAGGTATAATTATTAGGAAATAAACACAGAACACTTGAAAAACAGACATTAAAAATGAATAGACAAAACATCTCTATATTTTTGATGCAGCACAAACATACAGCAATAGCAGCAGGATTTATTTTTCTCTGTATACTGAGAAGGCTGTAAGTATTTTTTGACAGTTTATAAAGGGGCAGTCTTGGCCATACACAAGAATCAATAACAACCATGTAGAGCCTACAGCAGTGCACACTAACAGGCTGTAGGAGACATTAACACTAGCTAAAAGAAATAACTGTATATTCAATGAACTTGTTCCTCCTGGATAATCAATTTTTTACACTTCTTACCAGCTGTTCCCACATAGCTCAGGTAGCAGAATGGAAGCAGCTGTCATACAGAATCCATATATTGCATGCATGTTATGAGGTTTTTATCTGTCATAGATGTTTTGTGTTTGCTAATTTTGATCACTCGTATCAACTTGAGAGCAAGATGAAAACAAATTCAGTGCTTCTATATTTATGCAAGATGTAATCTGCACAAATACAGTAATCTGGCTTGATTCATTCTGGATTGTTAAAAAAAAAAACACAAAACCAAACACAAACAAAAATACTAATTGTGAATCTATTAATCTCCCATACTCAAAACCTCTTTATTCTAGAAGTAAGATTTCATCATTAAAATCAGTTTGCCCCACCGCCCACATTCAAGAGATTTGTCACAATCATTGTTTCTGAAATATTGAGTTATAAAGGTGCCGTAGTAATTACTATGGAATAAATAGCAATTAAGATTGTTCACACAAATAAACTCAAACTGTTTGCAGTGAATAATTATGCTAATAGTGTTTTTCTACATAATTTGTGCATCCTTCACAACAATTTACTAGAAAATGTGAAATGTAAATTTGATGCACTACTACAAAAGCTCTGAAAATATGTTTAGTTGTTATGATTTTTCCCACTACTTTAAGAAAGCATGCAACTAAAACATACTTCTACATTTGCACATTTAAATTTGAAGAAATCATACTATGCTAAAATTGAAGCAGTCATTTTCTTTCATTACATTCATAAGAAATCATCCTAAACATATGCAATAGGCATGGCTATTGCTTACATCTCCTCTACACAAACTTTCACAATTTGCAAGAAGCTGAACTTACCGCTATATAGTAAACTTTGGCCTTTTCCACCAACTTCCAGTTCTTCTCCAAATCAAGATGCTTTTCCTTCTTATAGCAATTAGCAGCAGCGAGGTTAGCTACAAGAGACCTAAAAGATTAAAAATCAGGCATCAGATCCTCCTTAATTCTATTGCAAATTTCTGATGAATAACTAAATTTCTCACAGATATTCGAACATCCTCAGAGGAACATAAAAGAGAGAGACAAAAAGCACAATAAAATGAATATACTTTATTTGATCATTTCATAATAGCTGCTTCTGAATAATACATAAAATATAATTATATTAAATTATATATTTTAAATTCAGCTAGCTAGTTTCCATAACCTAACACTATTATACTGGCCATACTCATTCATTTGTTTAGAATCAACCTTTTTCCATTTTGTCATCAATTCCCTACATACAGTGCAGCATCTGAAGGTTTTCATTAAAACTGTGCTATTATCCAACATCTAGAATGGAACAGCTGCTTTACTTTATCTTCTGAAAACTATTTTCCCTCATCAGGACCAAAAGGTTTTTGGATATGTATATCCTGCCATTATCACTTTTCCCAATAAACAGTCATATTATTTTAAAAGCCTTTTTTTTTTTTTTTCTTCCCCTCAGACTTATATTTTCCTCTAGCAAATGAATAATCAACTACTTGAAAATGGGTCCAGGCTTTTAGACGTTCAATTGTAAAAAAAAACAAATAAACGAGAAAAAAAAAAAAACAAAACACCTTTGGCTTATCTGTGCCCTACTGGAAAAATACCAAAAACTTGTTCGTACTTCATCCTTTCCTAACAAATTACAACACAAGACATAGGACACAACTTCCACTAGCAAGAATAAAAATACTCGTATTTACTTTGCTACATATAAGATATACTCTGTTTTAAATCCTCCTCTGCAGACATTCAGTTCAGTCTTATAAAACACACACAAGTTATAGATGTACTCCTAAAAGCAGGTCATAGACAGTTTATACACTAGCTTTCAACTCTGCCTACCATGACTAAATTTCTCCGTGAAATTTTATTACAAAAAAGTTTCAAGACTTAATCATGACATGATGCACCTTTAAAACTAACACATTGCTGTGTTAAGGTATTTAACCACAGTTGCCCGGTACTGTGTAGTTACAGATGCAATGTGTGCCTACTGAAAAATGTCAGCTCCTACAGAATATGTACAACTGATGTCGTACGTACCATCCTTTTCCACATAAATGTCACTAACAAGCAATGACAGTGGGACAGTGTGAACTGTTACAGGTTGCTCCTACCAAGGTATGCTTCTGCCTCCACACTGAGTACCATCTACAAGCGTTGAGAGGTAATCAAGAAAGGAAATCTTGAAAATTTATTCCAACTCAAAACAGCATCTTTCCACTACCACAATTTCTTTCTGTTCCTAATCAATAAAAAGCAAGAACTTCCTGAAGCTTTAATCACTGTCAATTGAACGCATGGGGTATGTCAAAAGTTAAACAAGAAGCTAGACTAACTTTTTCTAAATATATTAAGATATGTATTAGGATTCTGTGCCGTTTCATCTCAGAAACATTCTTGGGTCTTCTCTCTTTAATTCTAAATCCCAAAGCCAAAGAAAACTAATATGAATTTGGAAAACAGGCAGAATAAAAATAGAGTAAGCCTCAGCAGCAGTACTAGTAACAAGGCAAGAAGTTTTGTTCTTGATGAATGTCAATGATAAGAAATCCATAGAGATAATCGAGTAAATCCAAGGGACGTGTGTGTACCTCTGGTGATCTTTTGAAAACTAAATAAAGCAAATTAAACTTCCCAGTTTAATCAAGCCCTAAATATCCATTAAGGCCCTTGCTGGAAAAAAATCTGCCCGTATGTGTTGCTAAGTGAAAAGCAGTTATGTTCCAGAAACCTAAGCAAAGACCCTTCATATGTTTGCTTTCACTCACCACATGCCCCTGAAACTGTAAACCTAGCTCTCAGTGGCTAAGTCCAACTGTAGAGATGCTCTGCATGTTATATGTAATTAAGATTGCTTCACTGAAGATGAAGAAATTTAATTTTCCAATTTAAAACTGTAAGTCTAACAGCACTAAGTTCAACATGTGAAACACAGAGAAGGTAGATGTTTTTCAATGAAATACACTAACTGGAGACAGCTAAAGTGTTTCAAGTCTAACAGCTTAAAGGCAACTCTGTGCACGTGGGTATTTAAGAGCAGAACATATGAACCGAAGTCACAGATTATAATGGAGTGTAGGTACTACTTTAGAGTTTAATCATGGGTTATAATTTTCTCGAAAAGCTCTGAAAAAAACAAATCACATCACAAATTAGCTCAGAACCCTTTTCAGCAAAAAGCTCGAAAAACTTAGCAGAAACAAGAAATATTCACATCTGGACACCTGGAACATAAATACACACAGTCACTTACTGGGAAAACCAGGAGTGCTATTTACTAGCTCACAGATCTCTAAAAGAGACAAGAAAGCTGAATTACCTGAAAAAGGAAGTTAGCACATGCCTCCGTTGGGATAAGTGATTAGCCAATAAATAGAGATATCAACTGCAGCAGGCTGAAGACATCCTTACAAATCAAGAAAATGCTGAAAACCAAGTAGTGATCAGAGGGAAACAAAAGGCTGAGAATAAACTTGCTTGCAATAAAAGAAAGAGGGTTGCACAATAAAGGCTTTAGTGGCAACTATCAGCCTCTTTTATTCTATCCTCTAAGGAGGGATATAAGTCTCTCATAATCCCTTCACACTCTCAAGCATGTTCTAAAACAGTGATTAAGATGAAGCACCACCAGAGATGAAGTTCCTGTTATTTGAACAAAGATTTGATATTGAGAGACAAGTGTTTCATGTTAGGAAACCAAAAATACTGCTTAATAAGTTAAAGAAGTGCTTGCAGATATTTTTATGAATAAATTTACCTAAGCTTTCAAATTCTATTGAAATGCATGGGAAATTATGTAAACATTTTTCCTGAGCTCATGATGCATGTCTACTGATGATCTTAACTTCATTTTCCCATCAGGCCAACTAGGAAGTGGTGATTGCTACAAGGATGCATGCAAAGACACTATGTCACTAAACAGAGAATCATAGAGCACAAACGTCTTTACTGCTTGTCTTATCTTTGAAAAACTGAATACGGATCTGAAGATGAAGGGAAAAGTCTGTAGACATAATGAATGTCAAAAATCTGTATGAAGATGGATGAACTTCCTTCCTCCATTGAGTATGAACACTCTTTCCTGAGAGTAAGACATTATGTATGGCATTAAATTGCACGGGACAGGTTGATAAGCTGGAGGACAGGGCTGTCTGTCACTCAGTTGATCTCTAAAAGCTTGGAGAAAAAAGCTGGCAGAAGACTTAAAAGGCAAATGCAAAGTCATGCAACTGCAGTAGAATAACTCCATGCAACAGTATAGGCTGAGTGTTGACAGGATACAATACCTTGCAGAAAAGAACGTGGAGGTGCTGGTGAGAACTTGGGACAAGAGACAGCGGTGTATCCTCAGAGAAAAGATTAGTCACATCCTGGCCTATATGAGCAAGCTTATTGTCAGCAGGGAAGAAGAAGTTACATATTCCAAACAGGGGGATGCCTCTGTTCTGCACTTCAGGTCACATCTGGAGTATCAAGTGCAGTTTTGCACTTTCCATTACAAGACAGACACTGACATAAAGGAATGAGTCCAGAAGCAAGCAGTCAAAATTGTTAGGGGGCTGGAACATTTTACACACAAAGAAAGGCTTGGTTGAGTATTAAGTAGAGTCTTAAAAAGTTCCTAAGGGGATACCTTATTCTAGGGTTCTACAAATTATATGTTAAATTCTCCTTCCCCTGGCTCTTAGTTCAGTTAGTGCTGCTGGTACGGTATTTTGCTCTTATGCACAGACAAAAAGAAAATGTTCCTCAGGGTAACAGATACTATTTCCATTATTGCTTCAGTACCTAGTATCAGAAAATTTGGATGCTGGGAAATACCAGGGAGGGTTGGTTTGTGCTAGCAACATCTTAAGATTAAGGCAGATATGACTGTCTGGTTTTGGAACTTCTAAAAATCATCAGGAAGTAGGTAATCAGCAAACAAGAAATATTTAAGTTCAAGTGTTGTGGACAGAGAGAGAAAGAAGAAAGCAAAGGGATATGCTCAAGATAAATGCCTATCACCTTCATTGTCTCTTTCTAAAATTGTTTTATTGATTTTATTACAATACTCAAAATGGATGACTCCATAAGCACTTTTTTCCTCATGAAATATTTTCAAATCATACAAAATACCACAAAAAAAAACAACATTGTCCTTAGTGTCTAAGTAAGGTTGAATGTGTTAGAGTTCAGAATAAGTAATTTTTATTTGCAGGGGCCATATGAAAGATGAAATAAGTTAAAACATGAAAGACAAAATTAAGAAACAACAGATAAGATGAAGACAAGGAATTACAGTCACCAGGTCTTCCCAACAAAAAATTTTTCTTCCTCTTGTATAAAAGCAAGTTAACCCTTTTTGTCAGGCTATATGCCAACGTGTATCCTCTTTAAACACATTATTATCTGATGTACATTGTTTACTTGCCAATCAAGTCTATTCTTTATGTGGCAATCCATTTTCATAAAGGCTGTATAAACATACTTGTTAACCAACTTTTGTCTCCCATATATTTTCTATCTTTAGAGCAACTGGAAACTTCAAATGTTCAGAAAGAAGTGGTGGTTGAGTATGAGTTGAGTAAATGCTATTCTTTAAAGGTATATTAACCAACCTGATCCTAAACTGTGTTGTACAGCCTTTGTTGTCTCAAACCAGTGCGAATACTTTATCATTCAAATTAAAATATTCCTAACAAATTATGTTCCACATATTTGTGTCTTATGAAAATATGGAAGGCCCCATATACCTGTTATCACTAGTGATGCAGGCAGCACAGGTTCCGGTTGGTTCTTCACTCTGCTCATAGTAATGGGCGTCCACATGAGCTTCCTCAGCCTTCTTCTTTAATATCTCTCCAAATTTATCTTTGCCAATGCACCCAAAGAAAGTTGCAGCTTTGTAAGGGCTCTGAATCATCCACTGCAGATTGACAGAAAAAAAACAAAAACAACAACAAATAATTAATATGCCTGATATGTTATTTGTCCTTTTTTCTCTCTGCTCACCATATCTAATTCTGTGCTTACAGAGCACTGTGACACACACTGATCTGACAGAACTCTTCTGTACCAGAAGTAAAAGTCAGTTCCATCAAGAGAGGGAAGGTCAGCAACAAATAAAGAATTTACTCCTAATCATGCTGGTGAGTGCTTAACAATTAATGTAAAGTTTAATTATTAGACGTAGTTCACTATAAAATAGATTTGAAATACCTTGTAAAAACATAGGAAAAAGGTTCTTTAGCTTAAAGGATATGCTCCACATTAGATTTAATCAAACAACGTAGTATCTTTAATGGAAATTTGTAGAAAAGCAAAAATAAAATACATAGAGAGAGAGCATAAGGAAAACAACATTTAAGAACCACCAAAACAAACATCTAGCAAAATTCACAAAACATTTTCAAAAACAAAATGGTACTGAAAATAACCACGCATCTACCATTTGACTATACACAAAAAGGAAATGTTCCCCGCTCTTATTGTTAAACCACACACGAAAATACCTATCCCCAACTTATTAAGAGCAGTTCTATCACTTGAATTGTAAGGAAAGAGCATAGCTGTATAGTGTTGCTAAGGTGCTATGTTATTTTATAAAACTCCTTTATTGACACAAAATATACATCTTTCAATTCTAAATGTAACTACATTTGGTACTACGTTAAAAGATAGAACTTAGCACTGAAGTAAAATCAAGAGTGAACTAAAATATAAATGTGAAGAAATAATCACAGGCCCTACCCTGCTGGTGATGAGTCAACCAACTGAAGTCATTATAATTCCCTCTAATTATAGTCAGAAAGCTTATCCACTCAATCTATAGTATGAATTAAAGGCTACATCAATTTACTGCTATACTAAAACCCTACTTATAATTGTTTCCTAATCAAGATTTAAATAAGTGATAATGTCTCCATTACGAATCAGCATTAGTGGTAGCTGTGGGTCGTAGCAAGGTCAAGCAAGTGATCTGCAAATACATGCTTCATCACATCCTTATCACTTCTAGCTCCAGAAGAAAAACAGAAATTCTTTAGTCATGCTAAAGTTTTCATTAATAAGGCAAATGGACAAATGTTCCAGGGCCTCTTCCCGCACCAGTTTGATATATATCAAGTTTAAGATTTTAAAAAAGTCTTGTCAGATGGTGGCAGCGTTCAGTCTCTTATTTGTGAAATACACTCTAGATACGTTCTGCTTGTCTGTTCTACATTGACAGATGTTAAATAAACCCCTAACAGGAGAATTATGTACAACATCCTCATATTTCACATACATTATAGACACTTGCAGGGTGTTCATTTAGTATGTCTTAGAAGGTGTAACATTTTATATTTGGAGTTATGTTCAAGTAGAACACATTATTTAAGAAGACTAAAGATGTTGTGACCTACTGTAAGGAAATATGGAAGCAATTTCTACTGGTAAGAAGCACTTGAAGTCTTGTGTCCCATGTTGAACAGCATGCCTTACTCTCAAAAAATAAAAAATGAACAGCAACAGCTATGAATAGCTTTTATCAAAGCATCAGCTTTCCACAAACCCCAACAGTTCTTCAAAAAAAAATAGAGAGAGAGAGAGAGATTCTGAGCTGCACCTTAGGGTTACAACGTTTTAGCAAATGACATAACTTTTCCATCCTTTATATGTAAAGTCTGACAACATTTGGAGCAGTACGAAGTAATATTTCACATACATCTTTGTGAAAAAAAAAAAAGAAAAGAAATTCTGTTAAAATATCACAGTTTGGGCTGTTGGCAGCAGCTCAATTTGAATTCGGATGTGATAACATGCCATATATAATTGTCACAATCCTTACTTTAAATGTAAGTAAAGTTATTCTTGAGGATTGGAAGTCATGATCTGGGGCTTCTTGAGATGAACCTCTGCATATTGTGAAGACCAATTCTTACATAGGCAGAGCTTCTGCTGATGCCCATGATTATTTGAAACATAGGAATTACTTGGTGGGCAACACAGCGATTACCACTGCATAGATCCTCTTTTCATGTGAACATCTGAGCTAAGTTAAACAACACTAAGGAAGATGGAAAAGCAGTTCAGCAGTGTTTCTGGAAAGATTCTCTCTTCACAGATCTCCACTTACAACACTCCCAACTTCTTGGAACGATCTTCACATATTCCTATAAAAAAAGTAGTGAGGTCTTCCTAGTTGCCTAAGAACTCCAAACTGCTCTTCCTTTACCTCAGTTATGTCTATAAATTAGTAAAGGCAAAACAGGGACATGATGCTAAGAACTTGGTGAAACTGAACTATAGAAATAGATCTGTGGCACACCACTCAAGTTGTACCGAGTGGGATGAGCCACAGAAAGCACCTTGCTGGGACTGGAGTCTAATTTTGAATACCATGATATAGAAACAACAGGGTTCTATGGACCACTTCACACACCATTATTATTATTATCACTGCTAACATTTTGGCTAAACCACTCTAAATGGGAACAGGGGCTCAGTCATCAAAAGACTATTACCACAATGAAACGACCATGCAGCATTACATCCAATATCAAACTCAGGCCAATAACAAACTGCACACTTTAATGCCAGGTATGTAGTTATATAAACTGCAAATTCAATTTATAGATTTATGTGGAATAGAAGATTTAATTGAATGAAAAGACTCTAGACAGAAACAGAAAATGACCCAGCTCAGCAGGCACTAGCATAATGAGTTAATTATCTAGGGTTTGGCTAGGCAGCGAGGCAGCTATTAACTTAGTGTATTGACAGTCTGGTCAGGAGAGGTTGGCACCTGGCCACACCAAGAATCTTCACTATTACCCCCGGGAATTTGAAGCTGTTAATGGCCCAAAGACAGAAGTGTCAAAAGTAGGAACTCATCATGAAGGAGCAAGACAGCCTCAGGAAGGGAATACCACAAAGGAAACTCAAAATCTAGAGTGGTTTAAGAAATCTAGTGTGTTTCTCCATCCTGAAGTTTTCTTCTGTCAACACAGCATGGGCATCAGGTACACACAAGGACAGGCCCTGACCTTGTCAGTCAGAATAAGCATCTGTGACAGAGCAAGGCGTAGAGGAAATATAACACCTTTCAGATGCTCTCTTGAGTTAAACAGATTGCATTTGCTTCATACTTCTGTTGTATGCACTCTAGTAAACTAAAAGCAAATACGAACATTTTTTTAAACAACCTTTTTCTTCCCTTTAACATAACCCTGTCTTGAAATTAGGCTGATTTCATTACCTCAAATTACCCTATGCCTACAGGCAACTTATTCCTTATGATCAAATACTGAAGCCAGCACTTTGACACCCAAAGACATACCAGAGAATGACAGAACGCTTCTCTCCTTATTTTCATGACACCAACTTAGGTTCACAGAAGCAGCAGTATCTATCTGTTCAAGTGTTTTTTGGTGATCTGAGTTAACAGGGTGAATTCCGTGGCATGCTTAAACTGTCAGAGAAGTCTGAGAACCTTTGTGTTCCCGGGAGTGGGAGGCAATTGCAGAGAACAGCATCGTCTTTTCTTGCAAGATGTTGAGATGCCAAGAAAACTTGGTAACAAACAAAACTTCTGAAGAATGAACTGTGACTTTGTCATGCTGCTTGGAGTTAACTACATCCCACTCACATCCTCAGACTCAAAGATGTGGTACACCTATCTCCCACTTTTGACTGATTACAGAACAGCTTTGGAAACGACCTTTCCTGAATTACAGAAGCACTTCCACAAGCACTTCTTCCAACACGAGAAGGGACTTGACTTTGATTGGCTACTCACTCAGTGCTGTTCTTTGGGAACGATATTCAAGGTGAGCTTACAGAGTTACCTGAATGTTGTCTTACACCCAGAGAATCAAAAAAATGCACACTCACACTATATGAAAATCATCAGTGGTCTTACATAATTACCCCCAAAACAGAGAGGTGGGTGTTCACTGATTTTTATTTCCCAAGCATCCTATTTAGTTTGAGAACAACATGCTTCTGACCAAGGGGTAGAGCCCAGTATCCCATATCACAAAATACCTGTGTTCAAAGCTTCTCTACTGTTGCTAAGATCCAAGTAAAGGGAGGACCAAGGCAAAAGCAGCAAAACTAAACTAAATACTTGACCTCATTTACCTCATTATCTTCAGTTGCAAAGAGACTTCTCTTGAAAAAGAGGAGTTTGCTGCTGCCAGGTTTCAATAGACAACCGTTTGAGACTGAAAAACACCACCATACCAAAGAAGCTTAAGACAGCTTTATAGCCCTCTGACTAAAACAAAGATGCTTCAAAAATAATCTTGTTTCATGCTTTGCTGCAGATGACACTGATAACTGGATAACATTAATAATAGCAACAAGGAGGCTGACAAAGTATTTGTTATAAGTCCCACATTGTTCTCCATCTGAACTCTGAACTTCTTAGCTCCTTAACTCTTTTTTTTTATTATTAAAAAAAAAAAAAAGCTCCAGCCAGTACTGCGTTTCCACATCTGTCAGTCGTCTTAAACTAACAGTGCCAAAGCATACAAAGCTTTGCTTTGGCTGACATACCTTCTGTACATAGAAGCTTTCAGCTGTAGACTTGAAGCCTAAATACCCAGGAACTGACAACACAACAAGAAGCATTATGCCCCTTCACAGTGAAGTATCTTCAAAACTCATTAACACTACTGAATACAGACATCTGAAGTGCATCTGAAGTGCGTTATTTGAAGCTGGACTCTTCTCTGCATGATCTGTCAAATCTGATCTTATTTTAAATTGCATCTCACAGAGGAGAGGGCTCCAAAGACCTAAAATTAGCTAAGACTTAACATGTTTGCTAAAATCTAAACTAAACAATGCTAACAACAACTTATGAAGCATTCTTTTTAGTCAATCAGAACAGGAATGGCTTGTTTTCATACAGCAACATCTGGACTATCTATCCTCTTGAGA